GGATTACCACCAGCAGTACCTGAGTAAAAACCCTGATGGATACTGTGGTCTCGGAGGGACAGGAGTCTCCTGTCCAATAGGAATCAAGAATTAGGCTTAGATAGCCCAATGATCGGCAAGAACAATTGCCATCAGTAAGGATGTAGGGTTGGAGTGCTTTTGAAAATGCTTTCAGAATCAAAAAGCTTTGTGTTTTAAATGAGCTCTATACCATATTTGGAGTGCATCTATGATTCAGAGGTTGTCTGAACATGGCTCTCAACATGGAGGAAGCTGAGCGTGAGGCTAGAGGCTAACATTGCTAACAACACAAACGGTTGCCCTTCTTACACAGATATCACACCATAGGGCCGCTACGAAGGTTCTTTGCATTTCTACACAGAACCTAACAACGGCGCCATCATTCCTCTCTAGTGTGTGTTTATACACTACATCCTGGCATAGCGGAATCAGAAGAGCCGTGACATGTAACACAGCAGCGTCAGCAATGGCGTTAACATGACAAGAACAATCATTTACCGTCCCTGTTACATGGCAGCTGATCTCATCCTGTGCTCGGAGGGTTAGAAGCTCTGGGACCTCATCATTTTCCCACTGTGCGGATATTTACAGCCACTGGTCTTCTTTTAGTTAGCTGTAATCACTGACAGCTCCTTGTTAAATCTCCCCTGGTGGGTTGCACGCATAACACGTTAAAATGTTACGCCAGTGCCGCCCGTGATCCCGTCCCATTTCATTCTCTGCTCAGGATGCCACTACTCAACTATATAGCAGTTAGTTACTGCTATATCAATGTTCTTAATATTGTATAGAGCTCATTTAAATATAAAACTATTAGGTTTTTCTATATTGTATGCATAAAGGGGCATCGGTCTGATATTTATACTGTCTTACACCTGTGAACCTGATTATCTCTCAGAACTACGACCTCATTTCTCATGAACCTGACTGTTCCATCTCTGAAAAGAAACTGTGATTATCAAAATCTGTAGCTCAGTTTGCGCTGAAAGAATAACAATAATGCAGATTTCTTCCTAATGTAACTTAGTGACACGAAGCATAAACTGCAGTGTAGATGCAGATAAAGGCTTATAGTGAACATACCAGTGCCTCAAAATGTAAGCATGTTACCTGGATTCAACAAAACATGCTCCTCGATACATGCAGTACAATTTCATGTTAGATATATGAAAGTGTAGATATATGAAATCTAGTGGAAAAGTGGTAAATTCCTACACAGTCTCAGCAAAAAATGTATTCATTAAGGATTAAATTTGGTGTGTTTGAGTCCACATTTCTCTATTTTTTCTGACATGAAATATTAGGTTTCATTTTGGTGACTGTTTTGAATTATAGCCGCAGGTAAAAAAAACATGTTTTTGATGCTCAGGTTGCTTTATAAATGATGTTTATTTGAGTTTAACTTTGAAACTCATGCAGTTTATTTTTTAGAAGTTTGTGGATGAATAAAAGCTTCTGAAATCAGGAGTCTTCAGTGTCTTCTCTAATGCCCGAATTCATTCAGAGTAAAAAATAGTACAGTAAATGAACCTCAATAATATTCCATCGACTCACGGATCATTTAAAGGTCCTCTGCAGGTATTGATTAAATCCCTAAAAATCCATCTCATCAAAATTACATGTTAGTTTTTTCTGTGACTAACATCCCTTCATGCCTTAAATGACTGGATGTAACTCTACACCTGTGGCTCATTTAAAATGCATGGAAATATGAATATGCAAATCAATCCCGCCCCCAGTTGCTCGCCTGCGGCTTCAGTGTACCTGCTCACCTTCAACTCCTCTCATCAAACACACAAACCTCTGCTTGTAAACGGTAATAACATTAGCTCTCAGCTTGACTACATTGTCGTATGTTATCATAGGGTTAAATAAACTTCATTCCCAATCGGCAGCTCTGACATGATATTGCTTCTCCTATGATACCCTTTGTTTTGCCGAAGTGTTATGGGATTGGTTCCTTAGATATTTGATGTAGGAAACCCTGGAAGTCTGAATCCGTGTTGTTGAGACTGTTATTGGTATGCTGTGGTTCCAAGGTGGAAATACTGGAAATATGGACATTACATTGGAGGGCTTTACTACATTGTGTAAGACCTTGTATGGCATTTTCACCCACTCTCACACAATGAGAGACGGAGAAAATGGCAGCAAAAGGACATAAAAAAAGGACATGTGAATAGCTAAATGTAAGAAATTCTGGATTCTATCATTACAAAGTCTGCCTTATCTCATGGGTTTGTTAAAGCAGATCAAAATAAACAATAAATAAAGTTTTCGACCTTGTTGAAGATAGACCCACTAGAAATGTGGGCCGTGTGTCAACCAGTGTTGGGCTATAATGCATTACTAGTAACATGTTACAGTTACCAATAACGCCTCACTAATAATGCGTTACAGTAATAATATTACTTTTTCCATTAACAAATATTGTAGCTAATTACAAATGAAATTTTAATTATATTACAATTACTCCAAAACCAAACAACTTGTTACAACGTTACTTTTGTTATCACATCACTACTAACTTGAAATACAACAGTCACATCAGCGAACTCATTTAAGTAATCGTCGCACTGCACATGCACGTCATAAAGCAGCAAGCTAGTTGGGAATGCTTACGTTAGCGGCTGGAAATATTCCCATTATTTTTATTTTGTTGGGAGGAAAGATGACAAGAACACTGTTGCTGCAGGTAGTCAGACTAAAACTCTTCACTGCAAAAAATCACATCCTCAAACCTCTGGTCTGAAACACCTCGGCTACTGTGACCAACAACTCAACAACGTGAAGCTCCAGGAAATACACTATACCAAAGGTGAGCCCTACATGGCCGCAGAGGTTGGCTGCAGCCCTGCACTGGCCAAACAACCACAATTGGATTTTAATCGTGGACAGCTGCAGCTACAAAGGACTAATGAAGCTTGTGGCTGGATATGTGGTGGATGAAATGTTGCTCCATAATTGACACTCCATCTTTCAGGCAGTCTTGGGAAAATACCGGTCACAGGCAACAGAAAACCCAGAGAAGTTTTTGCCTCAGAACTGCAGTGCACCAATGACAGTCTTGAAAACACGAAGTCAGACAGCCAGGGTTTGCTATGTAACAAACCTCAGGAACCAATTCCATTGAGTAATTTGCATATTCGTAGTTCTGCGCATACTAAATAAGGCAAAGGTGTAGAGTTACATCTGAGCCATTTTAAGGCATTGAAAAACACAAATTATCTAATTTTGATTAACAGAGAGGAGCTTTTAGGGATTTAGTCAATGCACAGAGAACTGAATTTGCAGCGGACAATGTGAGCAACTGTTTTTTTTTTCCTTCTTTTTTTTTTTAATGAAAAACATGTTCATATATTTGTGTTTGCGCTTTTATGGTTTGTGTGTGTGTGCTGTATTTGGATGACCTCCTTCTTCTGATCTTTGCCTGAAGTAATGTCCCAGTCCGTGACTCATCTGTCATTGCTGTTAATTTGCAGGCATGTGTGTTTTGTACAGTATATGTGTGTTTTGATGGTACAGCACACAAACACGCACACACACACACACCAGCAGGAGGAGAGTGTGTTTGGTGCCAGGCCCTCCAAAGCTTGGCATCACCATCACAGAGTCAAAAAAAAAAGGCAAGATCGGTCTCTTTTCGAAATGGCAGAGCTCCACCTTGGATCTCTGCTGCGCTGGACCACCTCCATGATGCAGACTGCAGGACCAGGACCTGACCGGCTTTTCAAAACCAAACCTGACCACTATTTGTGGAATGCCGCTGATAAATGCTCAGATTCTGTACAAATATTCAATATTTCTAAATTTTTCTTTCAATAAACTGTCTACATTCTATAATTGATGTGTGCTCAAAGAAATTTCACTTTGCAGTGTACTGTCATATCATATGAGGATGACACCAGCTGGACTGGATCCCATTTTTAATAAAAAGGACAGTTTTGGCTCCACTATACGTCAGTGTGACCCCTCCCACACTGAAGGTTTTACGATTTGCATCCAGGCAGGTGGAAAGATTACTACTGTATGTCCTTAAGAACCAGAAGAATCCAGCACCGTTTTTTTGCACATCTCTGGCCAAGTAGTGACTCTGACTGTGATCATCAATCCAACTGGACTAAAATGTGATCAGAATGTGTGACTGATGAACAGAACTGCACAGGAAATATGTGCTTATTTGAGGAAATGAAGTATTAAGAATGTGCTCTAAATATCATACTCTACAAACAGAATACACAGCCAACGCATTATTGTCTTTCAACACCATCACTTGTTCAATTTATCCCATTTAACACTGGGCCTGTCCCTGAATCTGTCCCTGGTTACAACACCACATGACTATGCTGCCATCATGTGGTGTATTTAAAGGATGCACACATGGCTCAAGCTCAATGAGGTAACATAAACCAGTGCAGGATGTGAGGAGCCAGACAAGTAAGAATTAATACAAAGAAACAGTCCAGGTGTAATAAACATGATGTACTGCTAAAGTACTACTAACAGACTTCGGTGTGTCTAGTCATACCATCATGTAGACCTAATTTTAACAAAGTGCAATCAAACAAATATTTCTGTGTATTTTGCAAGGTACCCTGTTGCTCATATATTTAAATTCTGAAACACAGAAAAATTATTTTTGAGCACAAAAGAAGCAAAAAAAAAAAAAAAAAAATCAGAGATGTCTATGTTTCTCACAGAGGTAAATTGGTCAGTATTCATTATCTAAAAGGCACTACACAACTAGCTTCATTCCTGGTTTCCCCCATCTAGAATGCAGGACTTTTGCTTGCAATAGAGTATTTTTTACTTTTCCACCACTGCATAATGTATTAATACCGATTAAATCCATAGATTAAAACTCGTTACTAGCTATTTATTTTGAAAGGTCTTACCGGAAGTTAGTTTAACCGCCGCCTGTACACCTGCTGTGACACAAAGGTGAATGTTTGTGCTCTTATTCCACCTCGAGAAATGAACATTACTATAAATGAAGTCAGTGTTTTTAGGAAGAATTGTCTAAATTTAGTGTTAATTAAATTTAATTATAATGGGAGGCACGTGTTGTGACGGAAGTGATGATGATGCTCAGTAACTGTAGCAACGCCAAAGTTTCGTCAACGGTTAACTCTGCTCAGCTTGACCCAGGACGGCAGGTAACGTTAACTGACGTTAGCTTAATTTAACGGCTAATAAAATGTACGCCATTTTACAAAAATGTCGTCTTTCACTGTTTGTTGATATTTTAACTTATCCGAGTGGAGAAATTATTAGGTTATTTATTTAAAAAGGTGTCAGTTGAAAGTTGTTAATTATATTAATTTTAAGCTAGTTTACGGTAAATTTATAGATTTTTGGGTGCAAGTTAGTTTGGTGTTGGTAGAAACTACAGTGACAGGGCAGTGTTTGAACAAGTAAGTCATCATTTTTAGACATTTGAGACTTTTTAATTGCTGATTAAAACTAATATATTCAATTCATAAAGCATTTCTCTCTGAAAGATTGATAAACTAAATGCCAGTGTTTGAAAAAACGGGAGGTCTGTCACTTACAGAGTATCTTATCTGGCCACACGGACACGACCTCAAGTAAGAAATCAAATTGGTATCTAACTTACCACCACAACCAACATTAACTTCATTTTAACAAAGATAAAATTATGATTTTATTTTATTTATTTTTATTTTTTTTTGCATTTAACCACATATCCCACAGTCTTGGCCACTGGCACTGTGGTTCTTTAACTTTAGACTATATTGGTGAAATAAACCTATGAGAAAGATCAGTGAGTTAAAGACAAGGTTAGCAAGGAGAGGAGGTAAGACTAGTTATTTATGCTTGATCTTAAAATGCACATAAATGTCAGACACATTTAGTTAACAGAGAGTGACTTTTGACTTTCAGCCCACCATAAAACTTTAATTATTAGCACTGACTATTATTTGCTTAAATCTCTGAAATCAACAGGGCCTATATTTGGGACAGGTCTTAAATTCCTTTCACACAAAGCTGTTGCTCAGCAAAGATCAGGAAATACAATCAAATTATTTATTCAAACCAGTGTTAATATGACTTGTATAAAAATTAGGCTTCAGATAAACATTGATTTGATCTAGCTCTGACAGACAGCGCATGAGAGAGAGTAATTTTTATGAAAAACCCTTTTGATTGTTTTGATCTGAGGACCCTTAACGGACTAAAGGAATATGAATAACTTACAGGGTAATTGAGGAATGAACACATAATTTGAGCCACACCGGGCGAGTAAAAGGGGCCGCCTATAATTGGGACTAGGCTTTTAATTTAAGTTTTACAGAATGTATTCTCAGGTCCCAGTGCTTTGCCCCACTTTTTAAAGTGAGTCTCAGATGCAAACAGATATTATTTCAGAGCAGGGTTAAGTAATTATTTTCAGTAAAGTAAACCCGTTTTAGTTCATTCTCATTGCACTGTGGCATTTTTGTGCTTTTTATAATCCACTCGTGATACATTTTGCAGATGACGACGCTCAGATGAAGACAAGCAGGGTATAAAGTGAAATCAAACCAACTGAGTGTTTTGCAACGATGTCTGCTGAATTACCCATGAAAAGAACACACCAGAGCAAAGACTCATTTCAGTCAGTTCAGTCTCCTGCACCTATCTCACCCACTTCTGGAATCAGTGGGGTGGAGCACCAAGACAACAGACTGCCCTCTCTAGGCTGTCAGGGTGAACCAGTGGTGGGCAACACTCACCCTGACCTTTCCTCTCACCTGAGCCCTGAGGATGCTATCCCAAGTGGACCCTACCAGCCAACTGCTGCCAACTGGGATGCCTTTCACACTGCGAATCAGACTGCTCAACAAGTAAGTATTGCTTTCCTGTATTGCGCAAAAGCTCATTGATTACTCCTCTTTTTTTGGTTGTAGTTATTTCTTATTTCTCTCTATATTTACAGTTAAGTTTGAAATAGAGGTGTCAGTTTCTAAGGGGAAAGAGTAGAAATGAATTGCAGAAGAAGCTGACAGCTATTTCTGAACATAAGCCTTGGTGAACTAGAACGTAATACAGCCCAAACAAACCTGTTTTCATTCAGGCTGCAGCTAAGTATAGGACTGTGAATAAAAATGACACCCAAATTCTCAGTTCTCAAGTTTATTTTGGTGTCAGCATGCATGAATTCACAGGCATATTATCACAGCAGGTTCTTGAGTGCAGATTCTGGTCGATCTGTGTAGACTGGCCTTTGCTTTCTTTTTGTGCATGTTCATCATTTGTACATCCACAGGAGTCCATCACTGAACATATATTTACACACCGATCAGTCACAACATTAAAACCAGTGACAGGTGAATTGAATAACATTGATTATCTCATTACAATGCAATGATCTGCTGGGAGACCCTGGGTCCTGGCATTCCTTTGGATGCCACTTGACATGCACCACTAGTCCAAACACCGTTTAAAACCACATCCTCCACCTCATCATGGCAAGGGCACTCCCTGATTGCAGTGCCCTCCCAGCAGGACAATGCATCATGCTACACTACAAAAAACGGCTCAGGAATGGCCCGAGGAACATGACAAAGAGCTCATTCCCCAGATCCCAAATCCGATTGAGCATTTTCCTTTTGATAAATGATATTTGTTGGGAATATATTTTACTCAATACTGTTCAAGTAATCAGGCATGCCCACTTGTACTAGCTCATGTCTTGCCACTAGATAGCAGTAGAACATCAGATTATTGCTTCTCCTGAAGTATCTGCCTCCCACAGTTATTGGAACATGTTCTGTTTTCTTCTACTGGTCTAGCTGTTAATGTTTATGTGTTGGCAGGCACCAGATCATCCATGTGAAGTGGTTCAGCAGCAAATTGAGCAGATCCACAAGGTGCTACAGGAGCACTGTAGCCTGCTGGCACTACTAGGAACAGGTCAGTGTTGGGAAAGGACACCCTCCCGTTTAAGGCTGGATTAAGAAGTTGATTTTCTGATAAATTGCGTTTTTTGTTTGAATGATCCAATATTGATTTGTTAAATCTCGAGAATGGTCTTTGCATTTGAGCCTATTCTTAGTTAAGGCATGTACATTGGCACTAAATACTGTGTAGGAAGCAATGACTGTGCATAAAATAGACAACGCATCTCCCCTTCTTCCTGCAATCATGACATCAAACCCACTTTTTACAGCATCAAATGACTAGTTATAACCAAACTTATCAGAAAAATAAACACTTGAACACACAGCGTGTAAAAAAAACTACCTAAAACCACAGGAACCATATTTGGGAGTAGTGTGTTTGATGTGTATTGTGATCTTTTAGTTTGGCCAGTGTCCATAATGAAGATGGAACTGTCTAATTAAAACAACAACATGAAGTCTGTTGTTACCCTTTCTCTCCTTGCCCTAAATTCATCAGGTTTCCAACTCAACACGTCACTTGTTTTTATGAGCTAAATTCCTTAATACTGCATTCACTCTGAGACATTAAGCCATTACAGGCTTTTAAAAAGCAGACAGGGCGTGGAGCCAATCTGCAAAGAAGGTGGCAGCAATAACACTGATGTTCAGTGTTTTTCTGGGTTCAGGGTTTGTTTATCTTTGTTTTCGTACTTATGCTCTCTGTTGTTGTTTTTGCTGCTGTAATGTTCCTGCTCTGAGGCTGCGAGCCTCAACTTGACAGCCACCACCAGCTCTCCTGTTGCAACATCTACACAGCCTGCCCACAGCCAAGAACACACATCTCGAAATGCTTCAGACATAATAGAAAAAAAGGGTTAAAAAGAGGGGCTAATGCATGTATACACTGAGTCTCAGACACAAGACACACAGAAATGGAGGTATAATTGACCTATTGCAGATTACTTCAGGGTTAAAGTGTGACTGGATTTTTTTGGAATTTGCAACTGATGTAGGAGGGTACAAAAGGGATTTGGATAGGGGATTAGGATATGTGTCGCTTTTTGTGCTTGTTCGGCGTAACGTTACGCCATTAGAAAAAGAGGAACATGGTTTTACAAAAAGAGCTTTGCGTGTTTGTGCATTGCACGTCTTGTAGCTATCAGATGTCTCCATCTTTCGGTCATGTTTTGCTGGGAAAGTACAACACCCCTCTCTTTCAGACTCTGTAAAACTACCACGGTGCACTTGTGGTAACCGTATCATCTGTGCTCTGTTTATTTACAGCAACAATATACAGAGACCTGCAGTTAGTAGTTGAGTCTTATACAAATGATTCAATTTTGATAATCAATGTTGCAGAATTGTTTACAGTGTGAATGAGGACAGTTTCCTCCCAGGTTTCTGCAGTCCACACTGTTGGACATCATTTTTTAACCTCCTTTAAACACCAGAATGTACACACGCCAGTTTACTCTCGTTATAAGAGGCAGCAACATGAATAATTAGTTACACAACATTTGTAGGTGGGAAGTATGAATACAACCCTAAAACAAAATGCCTTCCAAAAACTGCAAGAAGCAACTGTGAGGTATTGAAATGTTTATATACATCTTTGATTAATGGTAGAAAACAGTTTGAAGTTCACAATATGTCTCACAGTGAGGACAGGTACAACTGGTTTGAGGTACTGGTGATAAACTTAGAGATATAGCGTTTCCTGAGTGATGAATGAGAGCTCTGCAAACACTGTACAGTCTATACTGTACTGTACTACTTTGCAGTTGTTGCAGCAGCCATCATACGCAGTAAAATTTAATCACAAAGGAAATGCTGTATCATCTGAACACCTGGTTTAAATGAAATCCAAATAATTTAAAATGCCTAAATACATTAAAGTAAAAAATGATATAAAAATATATATTTAAGTTGTAGTATTTAAAGCATGCAGCTGAAAAGTAAATTTACATCTAGCTCATTGTGTTACACCCTTATAAATGATTTTGCAAATTACATTTTACATTAAATCAGGCAGCAGACGCATAATATGAAGCCATACTGTATGAGTGGACCAGTCAGACAGTATTTCAATATTTTACATGTCCCTGCTAGGGGTGTGGGGGGGACAATTTGGACAATTTACCAGTCACCTGACGTTTGGTGCAAATGCTAACCCAGGCCCAGTTTTTCTTCTGGTTATCCTTACAAGTTTCTAGCACCGTAACTCCAGGTATTCAGACACCAACATTATCATCTCCTCCATCTTGTCTCCTTTCTGCCTCTGTGATGCCCTCTATCTGATCGGCCTAATCCAGGCGGCAACTACCAGAAGCTCAACACAGTGAACTCAGCACAGCAGAGACGAATCTGCGAACATGCACTTGTGCAGCAATTGCTTCATATCTCTACCTCCTTGTTGGAGACAGCTTTCCCTCTGCCACCTTACCCTCTTTTAAATGGCTGGAGGTGCCGATTTAGATGCATCACAATCAGGGTGCAAATTTTTGGCTGGTGAGTGACGCAAATCTAGCAACCACTGGCATATTTTACTAGCATTTTACAAGCGGATGCTACTCATTTTGTGTCCTTATTGCAAGTCTCAGTGCAGGAAAGTCAATAACCGGAAATTTAAAACCCAACGCTTGGCATTATGATCACCTGTAACAATTTTGTAAGGCCTGGCTGTGCCATCCTTCTGACTAAACCAAATGGCCGGTGAATAGTAATAGACATAAAACAAGTGCGTTGTGTTTGCGTTCACAGCTAGGCTAGTTCTTTAGGTTTGGTCAGAAGGACTGAGCTTGAGCAACCGCAGATGGATACAATACGTCCGGCACAGTCTGGCTTAAAAGCAGTATTACTACAGCTTAATACAAGCTGCATTATCTTGTATTGATAAAAGATATTGTAAGTAAATTCATCTGTTTAAATGTAATAATGGAGCATTACAAATACACTATGTTTTAACAGTAGCAAGTAGACACACAGGGAAAATAAATTGAATCCTTGGAACAGAATTGTGAGGTGCGTGGAGATTCCTACTTCTAGTCCCTGTTAATGTTCTAGCCCCGACCAACCATTTCCACAGGACTGTATATACATCTATTCAGTCTTGACTGGCACCTCCCTGACTTGTTCTCTGACTACTTTGTTTTGTTGCGCCTATCTTCTGTTATTTATGTGCAGTGAACAATCGAAAGCATTAAACTTTAACTCGCAATGACTTGTTCTTGAAATGTTTGAAAGACAGTCTCTCTAACTCTAATAGAAGGATATTAAAAACTTAAGGGAATTACAATGCGAAATATTTCAGCAGATGACACATAAAGAAGCATGCATGCATACAGAGTGGAACATCTGCGCCCAAAAAAAACAAACAGCTCCAGCATGAGCACAAGTTGCATTTATATCAGTGCTTTTTTGATCAGATGATGGTTAAAACCACAGATGAGTTACTCTGTGGTGGAGGCGGGGCAATGGGCGGACTCCAGTCAACACTTTCAGAGAAAAGTCTAATCTTTCAGGTTAGCTGAAAGCACCTGTGTGGGTGGACCAATCATGTCTCTAATATCGGCATCGAAATTTTTCTGCCTCCAGAATTAGAAAGCGTCGTCGTTGTTGTCGTTCCTAAACCAAAGTCAGTATTTTTCAGTTTCTTCTGAAGACACGAGGGACAGAAGACGGATACGTAAGCATCTTTAAACCCTGAGTGGCAGAAGCAGTAGACCAGCGGGTCCAGCAGGCAGTCAATATAAGACAAAACCATGAGGCTGTCGTAGACCTGCACCACAACGTCTTCTGTGGTCTGCATTTCCTTCAGCCTGACACCCAGCAGCACCGCTCTGGCTATGGTGCTGGGCAGGAAACAGATGGAGAAGACAACGACAACAGACATGACCACGCACACAGCTCTCCTCAGTTTTGTCTTTTCCCCGACTGTCTTCCTCCTCAGCCGGTGGACGATGCGCACCGTGCAGTAGATGAGGATAATGAAGGGGATGATGATCTGGGTGAAGTAGACCACCTTGAAAAGAAAAGAAAAGCGACTATGAATGTGATACCTCATACAGACAGTTGACAGAGTTAGTTATCCATATCCCTTCATCAAAGATTATTTGTTAGGTGCTGAGCTTTCTGACTGATATCTCAATTTTACTCCTCAGCAGTCCTAGTCATCTCAAACTCTTATCTTCAAGTCTTCACTTGTCTTGTTTTGTCTAAGCAACAGCCCAAAACACAAAGATACTGTGCAGTAAAGAAAACCAACAAATAATCACATCTGAGGGTGGATTTTTGCTTTAAATTTGAATTAGATGATTAATTAAAATAGTTGTAGATTATTTTTCTGTTGATCGACATGCCAGTTAATGGACTCGTCAAACAAAATATAACATTTTAAGAATTTAAGATGCTGTGATGCCCAGACAGGTTTGTTTATGCTGCCTGTGGCAAGCTGTTAGTCAGGGAACTAGGGGAATTAGATTAACCATTAAAGCTATTAAACTGTAATGGCTGTCAGCTTTATGGGAAGTCTGCATACAGGTATGAGGAAGGGTAAATAACTCTAGTTCTTAGTAAGTGTTGAAAGCGGTTAGCTTCGGCAGGGTTGGTTTAAATTGGGCTATTATTTATGACCCCATGTGATGATTAAAGCCTCTTTGGTTTCCATGTCACAGTCACCAAAATATTTACAGCTATCACTACTGCAATATCTGAATCAGAGCAAAAGTAACCATAACAATACCTCTCTGAAGGTGTCTGTCACATCATGAGAAAAAGTCTCGACTTTGCGGCCGTGGCTGTTGCAACACTCAAAGGTGTTAACCATAGTGGGGATCGTCAGGGGCAGCAAGAGGAGCCATATGATGATGGAGATCTGAGGACTTTTCTTCAGCACCTTGACAAAATTCTTCCTCCCAAGATGTACCACGTTGAAGTAGCGGTCGAGGGAGAGGGTGATGAGGAAGGCGATGCTGGCCCCTCGGTTGAGAAACAGCATAAACAGCATTGTCTTGCACAGCACTTTATTCGGGCTGCGTCTCTGGCCATGATAGTAATGGTAGACCTTGGCAGGAAGACACGCCACCAGCAAGAAGTCAGCAACCACAATATTGAACAGGAAGACACTTTTGTTCTTCCAGAATTTGAACCTAAAGAGGAAGTAAATGACAAAACAGTTATTTGCTTCACAGTTGCAAAGTTTACTCTGCAGCAAGAGTAATCATAACAGAGCGGAAAGCCTGTTACGCCGATCAGAATCTCGGCACGCCTCTGTGTGTGTGACTATTCACTTATCAGACTGACTCACCATGCCTAATCGTTTATCTTTTATTTCTTAGTATTTCATAAATGCCACTACTTTTCTTTGTGCATCGTATATTTCAGTGATGGAAACAGACAATGGTTCCAAAGAGAAAACTCTCTGCCTTTTCAGCACTGTCAGAGATACTCTTTATCTACAGCACAGAATGTTCCACATGCCATACGTCTATCCATTTATCTGGCCTAGTTGTTCAAAACCTTTAATCTGTATAACAGTGATCCAGATTTGGACATGCCATGTTTTACTATCTAGGATCAGATAATCCATCTCACTTTTGTGCGAGTTTTCAAAGCAACACTGATCTGGCCCACCCTGATCTGGATCCAAACTGTTCAAGATTAACAAATCCCAATATATCAGTAATCTAAATAGGACTACATATCACAGTGTAGGCTACTAGCTATGTAAAGAACAACAGGTTGAATGGGGCCACATTGATGTGCTTTTATTTAAAGAGACAGAAAACAGCATGGGGATGCAATGTTTAGACACTACATTAAACATTGTCATTGTAGTTAAAATAAAGTATAGAGCCTGACGATAAAATCAGCCAATACTAGCCCGTCACAGATATATCAGTATCGGTGCTTTTTATTTTTAATTGTTTTTTTTTTCTTTACGGAACATAATGCAGCAAAAAGACACTTGGGATAGTTTATAATTATTAAACCACCATTGAGGTCTACTATTTCAGTACACTGATGTCATTTATAATAGTAAAGTTTATTGCTAAACTGTAAAATATGTGTGTTTTTGTATTCATATATAATATATATGTGATATTGGCTGATATACCAGTATCAGACTTTTTTACTGTATTGGCATCCGCCTCAAAAATACAGTATAGGTCGGGCTCTAATATAGTGATGCATGTTAAGTAAGTTAAGTAATTTTTGTTAGATATTTACAGCTATTTGGGGAATTATTTCATGGGGTCAAAATTTACTTTACTGAAAGGCTTAATACTCTAGGTAGCAATTCAGTTCAAATATATAAATAAATGTATATATATTTGACAAATTTAAACATTTTATTACATTTTGTTCCTTGAATGCACCATGAATCCACCCTTCTGCCGGAATCAGGATGATCCTGGCTTTTTAGATTAAGGTGTCCCAATCCTACATAACGTTTTGAGCAACACATACTGATGGTTTGATCCAGATCAAAACCAAGACTGAGTGAACTAGTCCAATTTCAGAATCAATATCTTCTTTTAAACAGCACATTTTCAAGATTTGATCCAATCCAAAATCCGATCAGATTACTTCTGAACAACTGGGCCAAGATTAGCACACACACAGCTCCTCTTGTTTAAAAAAGACTCAGTGAAAAAGAAGAATTCACCAGGGGTTAATATGATTTGGTTCACAAGTGATGTAACTATAAAAAGAACTAACATCACTACACATGTTTTTTTTGTCTTATTACAGCAATTTGAAATTAGGTGCATGAACCCTATACAACCTAAAAGACCCACTTTGGGAATGTGTGTAAGTTTGTAGATAAGGTCAGTGTTTTCCATCAGTGAAATTCCCTGTTAATAAACAGATTTTGCCAACACATGAGAATCCAAACAGGATGTTCTCACTGCCTCTCCTTCGACTCACTGGTGTGAGCATGCATCTTTTAGGATTTCTTCCTAGCAGTCATGAAACTACAGTGGTACTAAAAATGTATGACGTGATTCACTGAATTAAGACACAACTTAAACTGATCACAGCGGGTAAAATGCTCACCACCACCATCTAGTAGTAGTAGCTTAAAATCATCCTGACTTATTAAGGCTGCTGCCAAGTGACCTTATTGACCCTCTTGTGTTATCAAGGTTTAAATCACCCAGTGAGGCATGTGGAAATTCTCAGCCGATGAGTCGTGCATACATTAATTATCACTTTCAACTTTTTGGCTGAAAGTTGAAAGTTTCCATCTCTGAATGCTTTCTCTGAATTCTCACTGACCACTCTAATCTACGTACTGCTTTTGAGCACTTTCAGAAAATAGGGCAAAGGGCAGTGATAGAGAGATTGTGTTTTCTCATACCTGAAGATGAAGATGTAGAGGACCGACAGGTTGAGCGGCAGACCCAGCACGAACTCTCCAGCCATCACCCAGGAGAGGATTTGGTATGTGACATTAGTGGGTGCTTTGCAGTGGTCAATCGTTGAATTTGTAGACATGTTTCGCTGGCTGAACATAACCGTCTTGAAAGTAGCAATACTTTTACAGTAGTCAAAGTAGTCCTATTTAATGTAATACAAAAGCAGTAGGAAGGATAAGGGTTAAAAGTGTTTCCAGGCAGGCATCACAAAGTTAAATTCTTCATTTTGGAGGTGGTTGTAGCTGCCTCTGACTTGGAATCTTCTCTCCTCAGGCACTGATTCCCCTTCTCACTCTGATCCGTCAAATTCAACAGTCCCCTTCTGAGAGCCTTACAGTGATTCTGGAGCTCTATCATGACCTGGCTGGCTGTGCCAAAACATGCTGAGGAGACAGCATGAACTGAAAAGGAAAAAAAAAAGCACTGAATATAGAGGAGAGAAAACACCCTGTCTCAGTGAGTGTGTTAGTCCTTTTTATGTGAGGCTGCTTCTGATTCTTCAGAGAGGAAGAAGTAGTTGTAGGCTGGAGGTGTGGTTTAAAGAGATGGGTTTAACTTTCTCAGATTCACAGCATAGAGGATACTGGTTTCAACGCCTTCTTACAACATTTTAAAGCAAACTTTTGTTGAAGCAGGTGACTGATAAGAGAAGGCGTCATGCTCTTTTCAGTTTCTGTATCACATACACAGAACTGGAAAGTTGTCCATTCACGGTGTTTTCCAGGAGGAGAAATGCTTGTGAAATTCCTCAGCTGGCTGTCCTAACAAAACCATCATGCCTGCACATGTCTGGCTTTATTTTTTGATATGGTGACAACAGGACTTAGAAAACTGGTTCTTTAAGGAAAATGACATAGAGTTAATAATAGAGTTCTGTTGGTACAAGATCATGTTGATGTTATATAGACAGAAGGACAAAGAACTATAAAAACAAAAAGCTTGTATAGAATATAGTTAGTACTGCATGTACATTCATTTTGATCACAGAAGGTTCATTACGTGCCTTCAAGTGTAAATTATGATGAATGGGGATGAGGTTAAAGGTCTACTTCACCCCCTAAATGACCATTTGTTTATCACTAAATGTTACACTGAATTCTGGCATGCCTCCGTTGAACGAAGAATCCAAAAACAGAGAAGTCTTTATGAGTTTAAGTCATAGGTGATCGTGTGTATTGTAAAGGCTTAGTCCAGGTTCAGCAGAGTCACACAATACCACAGATAAACTAACTGACCGAAGCAGTTGTAGACCAGTCGCTCCCATGTTCTTTTGAAGAGATTTTAGAAAAGGACTCTGACATACTGTACCAAGCTGACTAGTGGTCCCTGGTTACTGTCGGGCTGTCGGTGAGCATCTGCAGCCCTAGTTTTCGTGGTTTGTCCTGCACTGTTGGCACTAGTTGGTCCTTGTTGACTTTTTTTTTTTTGGCCGATTATGTTGAATCAGCGTCAGAGATGGCGGAGCCCATCAGTCATCACTCTGATTGGCAGTTCAGCTCACTCCATGAGAAGAGGAACGTTAGTGAAGAGAGCAAACAAACAGCTAAAGTCAAGAGGACATGAGATCAAAATAAACTTGTTATATTAGGTAAGACTATGTTTGAAGCCATTGAGCTCTTTAACAGAAAAGGTTCATGATGGTTTGTGTTGTTGTTTGCCAGCTCACAGTAAATATCCTTTGTTCTTTCAACATTCCTGTTGGTCTTCTAGTTTCCTGTTTTTAATGACAAATACAGACCACCAACCTGCTCTTATGGAAAGTTATTTCCTCTCATGCAGGCAGAGAACATACATGCTAGTTGGTCGTTTGCATTAGTCTTTGCGGAGTGCTCAGGTGCAACTTTTTGGTTTAGACCCAAGCGATGTTAGGCAATGCAACACTGGCCCTTTGTCACTACTAGTTCTTAGATGTTGGTTTGATGTGGCTGGGCCTAAAGCTTCACTTTCCATTTACTTCCCCTCTAGAAAGGACTGACTATTTACTAAATGAGAGAGTAGTAATAAATGAGACTTGGATTATGATTCACGAGTTGTGTGAGGTGTTTGTTTTGATATAGTTTTTGTTGTTGAGAACAGCCCCAATTACTTCAATTCCTCAAAACTTCCCCGTTTTTAGATTCTTAGCTCACTGAAGGCAATTCAACATAACACAGTTTGAGTAATTGATATAAAATAATCATTTGGCTGTTTTCCTTTAAACCAGAAAAAAGTGCAGCAGGAAATGATGCTTGTGTATTCATAATGAAGAAATTAAATTACATTGTTTAAGTTAAGTCATATTCATATGACTGGACGTGACTTTTGAACATAGTTTTTTCTCCACTCTTCGGAAATATTTCTGGGAAATATATCAGTCAGTACTATACTCAGCAGTTCAGTTGAAGTATCTATCATCAATCATGTCTAAATTGCAGTGACATGAAGCTATGGTTGAAGTCATCTTTCTCAATCACATCTTCTTTGAAACATGGTAGAAGCTGGTTTTAGGGAAGAACTAGAAGTGCAAACAGTGTTGAAGTGATTTCTCAACCCTCCAAGGTGTTGAAGGTTTCTCTAGTTTGACTCAAATACCCTTTTACACCTTTTTCCAAACAATCTTTATAAGATAATGAACACTAAAACATTGTTAATGTAAGTTCCAGTCCTGGGATTCAACTTTATTTATACATTGCACCATGTAGTTGTCTTAGAGAAACCTTGACAGACAGAAATTTTCTTTCAAACTGTTTGTTCTGTCTGCTGAAAGTGAACTCTTTGAGCATGACAAAGTTTTACCACTTTGTCACGCTCTCTCCCAGACAAAGTGTTATATTGCACAAAAGAGCAATGCCGCATAGATTCTGCAACAAACCACATGTCTAAACATAGTAAGCACATTTAGACACTTGGTGTATTGCACCTCTGACCACAACAGTGCCTCTTTTAATAATTATTGCAACATTGCCGTCCTGCCACAGACAGGTTGCGTACTGTTCCTGTTTAAAATGACACAATGATTCCTACTATTCACCTACAGGTATCATCTTCAAACCCCCTTTAAAGGTAGAGAGATGGATAACAACACTTGTACATTTTGAAGCATCAAGATAACAAATGATAGACTTCTGTTTGTATTTTATAGAAACTGAAGTGCGACAACAGCAAAAGGAAGTAAGAAACAGATGCATAGTGTAGATAAGTAACCCAAACGCAAATAGCAAAGTGGGATAGAAGCATGTGCAATTCAGAGAATTATCTGAGAATTGATAACGTGTGCTCTTTAGTGGATTTATCTGATTCACAGAAACATTTTAATAGCACTGAATGTTGCTTGTTCTTGTAGCCTTGTGTCTTTGTGAAAAAAAAGTCTAATATGTTGTGGGAACATCTTACAACATAATACAATCTAATACTGCAGCACCACAAACTATGGCCTTAAAATGTACTCAAAAGTAAAATCATGACCTCTAATACATATCTCTCCTTATAAAACCGATAAGGCAGATCAAATAATCTGACTGGTTGTTAGTTGTGATATAATAACCATATATAACAGCAGTGACGCCTAATTTTAGTTCCCTTACACAATACTGTATCACTCCATGTAGCCTTCTAACCATAGAAATTGGTAACAAACTAAGCTAGTTACTAGCTAGCTAACTAGTTATGCTGTGTCTCAAATCGTGTACTTACACTAATATGCTTTCATGTAGTATACTATGTGCACTATGTACTTACTGGTGTAGTGCATGAATTTTGACAGGATAGTGTTGTTTCAAACCAAACATGGCTGTTGTGCACTTACCGGAAATGACGACCGCAGCTGTTAGCCAGTTAGCAAACTAGCATTAACATTCGTGTTATCGTTCGCGGTACCAAAGCATTACAGACTGCTAAATTAACCCAACAAACATACTGCTGGCTTATACCCGACAACAGTATAGTAGTGCTTAGTGCAAAAAATACATGTATATTTGTACAATGCAGCGACTTCCACGGTCGCACAGTCCTCGGCCACCATTTCCAGTTTGAAAAGTGGTCCCTCCCCTTCCGCTATGTAGCCAAAATGGCGACCATTGAGGGTGAGAAGTGTCCATAGTTCCACACTCCACTTCTTGACTGTTTTGAGTGCACCATCTGGATACTCATAGTGCACTGCATTTTTCCATACTTCTCAGTTTGAACGCAGTTATGTGCTTAATATATTAAGTGTAAGTACAGAAGTACGCGATTTGATATACAGCACTAGTTAGCTAGCTAGCTAGCTTCTATAATGTAGAGCACTCATTCTTGAGAATTAGGACAAAACCTTACTTATTTTTTTATATTTACTCTTAAAGAGGCAACAGATAGATTTGGGTTTTTTTTAGCTTGGCGCCACCTAGCGTCAGCGGTGTTGCGCGCACTGTCGCAACGACCAAATTGACTGTGGGGATCAGAGATAATCAATAAAATGTAGGCTGTAAAGCCACCGGTATACCTCTATGTATATGTAGAATGAGAAGGTGTGTGGACACTATACTAAATAAATGAGTAAAGAGACCGAGCAACAATTATCAGATTTATCTGAAGAAAAAACAAATGTATCACTGTCCGAGTGCTGCCGTAGAATGGCAACGAGGATGTCAGCTGACAAACACTCACTACCCGGTCCCTGGTTGCTGCGATTTGCGATGCTGGCCAGCTAGGAATTAACTAGCAGCCAGTACAGTACAGTCCTCTCTCGTCTAGCTAACATTTAGCTGTGTTACTTATTGATCCATTAGAAAGAAAGCTAGCTGGACATCAGTTTTGAAGCCTCTTTGGTCACGGAACTCCCTCCATCTCTTGAACGCCTGACTGAGGTTTACTCTGTTTTTCCTCTTATCACTCTTGTCTCCAAACTTTGTCCGTCTGCCATTGAGCTCGTGACTCAACTATCTCGTGCCCAACTCCTCATAATGACCAGCTCTAGTCCCTGATTGGCTGACCGACCAGTTTTGCAATACATGACGCGTTTCCTGCCGTAAAGCAGATTTTTTTCCACGAAATTTCGCCCCTGGTTGTAGAAGCTTATTGCAAAGATTGCAGAGCCACTAAGTAACCTATGTAAACGCTGATTTTACTGTGACCACTACCCTGTGCAACCCACATTATTTTCATAATGATATACTTAGGAAAAGATGCTATCTGTTGCCTCTTTAAATTAAGCTGGAAAAGATTATTCAAAAGATCAAAGTCTTGACTGTCATAACTTGCAATGGGCCACCATCCCAATGATTTAATATTTAAAAGGGGTATTTTATTTTATTTTTTAAAGCTGCTAAGAGTTTCCTTAATTCTAAACAAAAAACTCCTTTAAACCATAATTCTTTTTTAGTTTTGATTTTGGAGGGCTGCAGAGTTGACCTGTTATGGTTTAGACACTCCTGATAGCGGTATTGATTAGTGAATTTATCAAAAAATAAAAAGCTTACCAGTACTTGAGCAGCATTTCTTTTTGGAAACCAGGAAGTGAGACTGGAGTCCTTAGGGTATAGCTATCCCCTTTTATACCTGATCTGACCTAAATTATGTTTTTGTAGAAATCAGACGGAGTTCACAAAAAATCTGGGACACATCTGTTAAGGGCTAACATTTTCACAAAAATATATTTTAAAACAAAGATGATTATAGCAGTACATTTTTACACTGATGTTATCAGTACATACAGTACTGTTAGTTTTAGATTTTGAAGCCCTCTAACACATTTAATTGTTGTGAATTGTCAGGGACAAGGTTGTTTTCTGGCTCAGGACAAGTTAAGAAGATAAGAAAATGAGAACAATCAAAATATTTTATAAATCATATTTATTTCATTCACATAAATACTTCTAAAATATTTTTTCAGCCCAGTAACTACATTAATGTATTGATAAATTATAATTTAAGGGGTATTTTTTGGAAGGACATGATTAGCCCAATTCTCAACAATAGATGAGAAACCTTTAAAGTCAACTTCGACCTTTGTGGTGGCCTAAGCTAAACAGGGTAGTGAATTAAGAAGGGCATGTTTCCGGGGTAAAATCTGCTGAACCTGAAAGACGACATGCAGAGATATTTAAAAACGAGGTCAATGAAATGGAAAAAAATTAGTTATTGGTGACCATAACCAAAAGAAAGTAGAGCAACGTCCTCCCCACAGCAAGTGACGCACATCTATCTAACAAAAAGAGCAAGCCCACAAGCAGGAAAGTTTTTCAGTGGTTGCACAATAATGGCAATATACAGATTTATATAAATACATACTGTAGCCAAATGATGAAATATATCTATGATCTAAAAAAAAAAAAAAAAGAAGCTGGGAAATCGCATAGCCACTGCCTTGTGCACTTTGTGCAGGCAGCTAGGAAGGCCTGTAAGAGTTCTTTATGAATGTGTTCTGAATTTGTTTGTAAAAAATGGTTTAAATTGAAATGTGTCTATAACTTTCATATTGTCATACTTGGTAGCTGTTTTATAAAAGCAATAGGTCACGTCAGGCAGTGATATGTTGTGGCCATATTACAACATAGCACAGCCTGTTGTGAGCTATTGCTTAATTATATTTATAGGCTATTGTTTTTTTATGGTATTGTATTGTAGGGTGTTCCTATTTTCCTATTTCCTCTGTATAAACTTTTTTTTACATTTATATTTCACAAATGGAAAACGACATGGCAATGAAGCTTTGTCTTCTGAAGTATATTAACTTTTCTATTGCTTTCTGGTGGAGTTAACATATTAAATTATGATGTCTTTGTTTTACACATATGAATATTTTATATTAGATTTTTTGCATGCATTTGCCAGATTGCGATATTCTTCGATGTCCTGAAGTAACCTTGATTATATTGTGATCATTTCAACCATGTTGCCCAGCCTTACTAATGAAAACAGTTTCTATGGGTTAAAATCATTTTCTCACACCGTAAGCATATTTTAAATATTTTTGCCTCACAGCAGCATTATATAAGCTAAATAAACAGCCAGCAATAGTTGGTAACACTAAATTATCCTATATAGAGCTGTGTTGTATACTACTCCAGTTTGGTATAAAAGCAGACTTGTCTATATGGTCGTCATTTCCAATTTGGACCATGTAGTTAAGTCCTCTTAGGGCGCATTCACACCAGGATAGTCCGGGGGACTCGGTTTGATTGGGCGGGGAATGCCGAAAAATTTCACACCTTCATTTGGTTCGGTTCACTTTCACACTGCACTTTTTAAAGCGGAGCAATTTGCTGGACAATGTCATGCAGTTACAACAGCTGCTCATTTGGGGGCAGTATTGCCCTAAACGACCACTGACCAGGAAGGAAAAAAGCATGAGGAAGAAGAAAACCTGGCTCATCGATTGTCCAGGACCTAAAATGGAAATCCACCCCCTTCAGCCAGCTTGATAACTGCGATACATAGTCCACTGACCATATATCAATAAGCACCTGTACCTCCTCACGTCTGCCCATGAGACATTTTCCAACTTTTTTTTTTCTTACCTCTGCTTCTTTCGGTTCGCGCTGTTGGCTCTGTTTTTTTTTTCTACCCAAAATGCACTGCGCATTACATCACTTCCTCTCTTTGGTTCGCTGGATAGTGCGTTTGCATTTCACACTGTAAGCAAACCGCACCAGGGTTCACTTGCAAGTGAACCGAGGCCCCCAGTTTTCAAGCACCATACCAGAGTTTGAATGAGCATTCACACCACTCCAAACAAATCGAACTATCCGTGAAAGCGGACCAGGGTTCCTTTAAAGCGGACCAAATAGTGCCAGTGTGAATGCGCCCTTACTCTGCTTTCACACCAAAGACCAACATCAGATCAAGGCCAATATTTTTGTGTCTGTGCTCTCCTGAGAAGCTGCACAGGGCACTCAGTCGTAGCGCGCACTACCTCGATTTTCTGTTCAGCTTTGCAGTTGAACTAAATTTAGAAAATCTTTGATCAAAAGTTCTGATGGCGCCAATATGAGTTCTAAATTGTTTTGTTACATCACAGCAGCTTCATTTTCAACAGATAAATATTTAACACATTTAACAAAACATAATCACCAAAGACAATTTGTTCAATACCTTTCAACGTACATTTGATCTGGTATGAAGCTCTACATTTAATTTTAGCATTGCTTAACCTTACTAAATCCCAGTCTCTTCAATTTGATGTTAGCATTTTGTATTTACTTTTGAGGACATGATTGAGGTTAGAGACAGTGTTGTTGGCAGCCCTTAATATGTTGTTACGGTAAGCTGACTCATAGAGTTTCTCAAGGGGTTGGCCTGCAATCTTTAAGCAGATTTTCATTCGGTGGAGCAGATGTGACTTTAAAGGTTGTGCATCTCTTCTTTTCAATCTTGCAGGACTTGAGTTTACAAATCTCACGCATGGGAGAAGATATCAGAGCGTGATGTGCTGGGTCAGAACATGGGTTTTGTTTGCATTCCAATGTATTCCTACGCATCGTAGTTAGGTGCTTTGTAGGATGCGTTGAGCAAACTGTGTGTGTGGGAACTCGTGTAAAAGACAGATTAGTCCATGTTAAAAGGAGAATCACGTGAGCTCAACTGTGTATCTTGCATTATGTACTGCGTAACATGCACACAGAGCTGTCCATAGCCTGTCTCTGTTCAGATAAGATGCACTCAAGAAATTATCTTTTCTTCATTTCAAGCATCTACAAACTATCTCTTTCTACCTCTGTGATTTCATGCACACACTTTTTTTCATTCATCAGGTTTCGGCAGTAATCCACTGACATGTCTCACAGCACCAGTGATAATGGCAACAGTATACACACACTCAGTGGTTTACTTTGTCCGCACTTAGAGCAAGGTGCTCTGGAAGAAATGTCTCTTAGATTTATCAGAATAGATATGAAAGGAAATGCCAAGGAGCATTTCAGGGCAATGGTTTGGACTCATCTTATGTTTCCTGCCACACGCACAGTCTCTTAGACATTGGCTTATTTCACATTCTAATCTGATTCTTTGTCCTACTCTCGCTTTTTATCTTTCTCTCAGTCTCTCTTGAAGGTTTGATATTTCCTGCCTGTGTGCCCATGCAATGGATTGGCTTGTTGCCCGTGCTGACTGCCACAAGCTCTGAGAAGGTACTTTATGACTGGTAAAGTGTTTTCTGTGAGTATTTGATCACGACTCTTTTAAATTAATAAAGAAGAGTTCGACAGAAAGTCTATAAAATACTATATAATTAATATATTTTAAATTAAAGCATCTTGTGTGCCACAGCTGTATTGCTTTCTTGCATTAAAGTTCGATTAATCAGTATTTGTCATATTAACAATAAATCAGATATCCGATGTGAAATGGGTCCCAACTGTACTGCTTTACAGAGTGTTTTTTTGGCTCATTCTGTTGGTTGTTTTGCTTTTACAGCACATTTCTTTTAGGATTTTCTCTCATCTCAAACAAGTCTGTCTCTTGAAGCAGCTTTCACCTGTTTTCAGCAAACAAGCTGTGACTAACCCACTGTACACTGCCTACCCAGCACAAAACAGCACAGAGGCAGAGTAAGTTTAAGAGTCAGATATGTTTCTAGCACCACATTCTCACTTCGACCTCATCACATATTGACGTTTAGTCATGGACTTTCGACGTCCACATACGACGTGCAAGGTACCCTGGGTGAGTTGGCTGTTGACATTCTGCACTGTGCCAACATACAGTCTCTTACATGCAGTTGCTTTCAAAATAAATGCACTACGTCGGTACAACACCGCAAATTGACGTTTTTTGTCCTTCAACAGCAAAAACATGAAGTCTGGTTTAGGCAACAAAAACACATGGTTAAGTTTAGGAAAAAAGAACAGGGTTTGGCTTCAGAATCTTAACACCAGTCTCTCGGGTGAAAGTCGGTGTTTGTTGGATCCGTCCACCACCCCTCCTGCCTGCCCCAATCGGACTTTCACCTCCTCAACTTTCATCCTTGTCCCACTGCATATCCCCCTGACCCCATCGGCGCTGTTAAACTATAACGGCAACTGGCCACGTATCATGCCGATATTAAAGGACTTTTTTGTTGGTTTCTGATGCCGAAATTCACTGCCCAAACACCGGATTTCAGCGGCTTTGGAGTAAGACCGGGCTCTTTCTAGAAAGTTGGTGAAGACCAAATCAAAAGGTGATAAAATGCCAAGGTTGGCAGTGTTGTGCATTAACGCAATAGAAGTTTGTAACTAATGAACGTTTGCTCTTGTGACTGTAAACGACAATCACACGCTGTGTTTTACGGCAGTCAGGGCTGAGAATCATTTAAAGAAATTACCATACCATACCGCAAAGTGATACTGGTACCAATAGAGTACTTTATTTGATACCCAAATTGTGAATTGATTGTCCTGTAGTATAGCCATAATTTGGACATTGTGCTGGCATCTCAGCACGCTGAACTGCCACACCGCGCTTGACTTCACCACACAACAGACTGCATGGGTTGCAGCTGCTGCTGTGGGAGTGTGAACTCCATGCTAGAAACAGTTCTGAGAGTTCGTCTGGCTGTACGCAAGCAGTAGCAGAGCTAACCGTTAGCATCACACATCACACATTTTGGTATTAGTGTGACTTTGATGGGACTGATCAACAGTTTGTAGTTGGACAATCAAAAGCAGTTATTGTTTGACTGGAGACGTTTCAATATTATTTGGTACTGGGTTATTTTGATTGACACCTTCAAGGTATTGAGTACTGGTACCCAGCCCTAATGGCAACAGAGGATTTATGGCACCAGGCATGCCAGTGTTGTGTCAAAGATGGTTTCCCCGTCTATGTGTTTCCCCCTTCCTAATCTGAACCAAACCTTTTTCCTTTACCTGACCACAGAGGGGGACGATATGCATTTGAACAACAGCACAACATTCTATGTTCTATGTAATGGGGGAACAGACTTTGATTCAGACAACCCAGCCAGTTCATTTGTGTTATGAACAATTCAGGACAGATTACAATGGAAAAATTCGCACCTTTTTAGGCAAGTTGTGCCCACCATGTCCGAAAAAACAAGTCAGAACGTCAGCCACATTGTCAAAGAATTTGAAATGACACATCGAAGTGAAGCATCCAGCCAGTCTTGGGAAATATCTGCAAGTAAATGATGATTGCAAGGCTTTAATTAAAAAAAAAAAACAAAGCAAAAAAACATCAACTAAAGAAATCAAGTGGCCTAAAAATCAGTCAAACCAAAGAGTGAAGCAATTAATGAAACATTAACCAGATGCTCCTCAAATATCACAAATATCTTTGTATTTCTCCAAAACAGACTAACAATTGATATCTCTCTCATCACCAGGCCTGGAAATATTAGAGGAAACACTTTGTAAACATGGATAATGGAAAAATATCTTATGCAAACTGGATTAGATTAACATGCATTTTTTTTGTGTTAGTCATCTGATCTAGTTTTGAAAATACATCATGGTTTATACTGCAGCGCTGTATCCATTTATATGTAGAATAGATTTGAGGTGATTCAGAGAGCTTTTCACGCTAACATGATGTATGTTGTATAATTTAAAAAAGAGTTATGTAAAGTTCCTGAACAGCAAAACATTGTTTTTGGCAGCTACAATAGGTCAAACGGTATCAGCTCTGATAAGTCTATCACTATAATAAGAAACATCTCATTTTTCCCCTCACATGCTTCCTTTCATCCCCATCCCTGTCCTGTCTTTCATTCTCTTGGGTTTGTGTGCGGCACCAAAGCTCCCAGTTTTCCCAATGCCATCTCCTCCATCAGATGGAAGGAGGCGTGAGGATCGTCCTGCCCCCACATGTCCCAGCCAGGGTAAGAACGAGCTATCATGTCAACACTATGTCTCTATTTACACAGACGAAACAACCGATCTTATCTGACCCACATTTCATATTAACATGTTGAGTCCTGTTGTAGACAGTATTTCAAAAGTTCAGACTTTGGTGACTTGGAGAAGTCACAGAAGAAACACTAGTCAATTCTGGTAAAATATGCAAGTGGCTGGTACATTTTCCTAGAGGAAATCTTCCCTTTTTTGTTTCTTTGTTATCCTTTGTGTTTAGTCATAAGGCCAACATAAGCTGATTTGCAGTGTACTGAAGTCACCTTACAGACTTAATTTTCACTTTAGTGTATCAAACATTTACCTCTTTTCTTTACCTCATTTACCTCTTCTACATTTACCTCCAAAAATGTACATTCCAGAGAGCTTTGTAGTAACTAATGAATCTGTTTGCCATCCTTTTATTAATAGCTTTGCTTTTCAAACATGAAAGAGCAAGTAATCAACACCACACCCACTCCTTATCCCAGCACAGAAGTTTCAAGATTGCTTAAATGCGTGTTGACTCATCTGCACTTCATGGGAATGTTTGTGTGACAGCTGCGTTCTCAGCGCAGAGGTGCTGTTGGATATCAAGCTTCAAACGCATTCATTAGAAATCGAGACCATCAAATTAATTCAAGATATTTAAAGGCTCACATCAGCATAATTTTCTGAGCAGAAGGACGATGAAGGATCAGACAGCACACATGTACTCAAAGATAAAAATATATTTATACATTTACATATTACACCAGTAGTAAAAACACAAAAAGGACAAATATTTACACAGTGCCACCTGTAAAATTGAGTCATGAAATGTTTACTTGTGTCCGTCTCTGAATGTAATCTTTGATCTGCTACACATTTCTCTTACCTAAGATCAAACATTCCTGTCGACAACTTTAGATAGTTGAATGATGGTGGAGGGTATGACTTTAAAGCATTTATTGGAACTCTTTTAATAAAAACCCCAACCTATAACATGTTTAAACCATAGTTATTGGAACTCATGTAAATGCATTACATAAAATTATCATATGAATTTGGAAGATGCACTCAGATGCACTTCTTTTATATTAAATGTTTTTTATAGGGGCATATAAACCTAAAAGTTAACATCAGTAGTATTATCAGTATCTATTGACATTTGCAACAAAAACACAATTATTTATACAGCTGCACTAATGCTGCATTCATGTCAGGATGACTTGTCATTACTCGCAAGTGCTTGAGCCATTAAACACCTGCGTCCCAAATTTTAGAAGAAACTATCAATGAACTTTAGCACACATATCTCACTTCGTAGATGTTGGTGATTAAAGCTGTTTTTTTTTAGTTTAACAATTAGTGACAGTAAAGAAGAGGTATCCAAGCGCGAAAAAAAAACATTGTGTCCTACTTGTCATTTGTCCAATTGGTACATTTACAGTTGGAGTTACAAACATACTTAGTTACTGTGGATAAAACATTACAAACAAGAATTAAGTGTATGTATTGACAGACAAACTCTGTTCACACTATTCATGACCTTAAGACACATTACTCTGTTTACTCTGTAAATATTTACCTTGTTTTCATTCACTTAGAGTTAACTCATTGTCAGTTGTGCAGATGTAACATTTGCAAAGCCAAACAGGTTGTGTGTACAGCAGAGGTGTGGACCTGAGTCACATGGCTTGGACTCGAGTCTCAAATGTGATGACCTTAGACCCTACTTGGTAAAATCAAAAATACTTGCAACTCGACTGCGATTCATTAAATACAAGACAGAACAGAAACATAGAAAATGAATTGTTGTGGTGGGTTACTGGTCATAAGTGCTACATGCTATGAAAGTACAATGTCAGCACTACTTTTTATGATAAAGTTAAATCACACTTGTTTTGACAAACTTGTCTTAACAAATAAAATACACTTAGATTTTATGATGAGTTCAACTTGGAAAAAGGAAGTTGAATATTGTCCCACAGCACAAATGTCTCATTGTATTGTTGTAGTCTGTCACCATGTCAAACAAAGCTGTGACAAATACAAAGCAATCACAGTTTTATGCAATTTTGTGATACACAATGATGCATCTTTAACACACAGATGAGTAACATTTACTTTAAAGCTAAGCCCCAGAGTCATCAGACCCCAAGCCAGTTAACTCCTTAAATGAGTAAGCGATCTATCTATAGCCAGACAGCAACAACAGACATAACCTCACTCACTGTACTGTTACTAGTGATGACATCACCAAACTGAGTGAGATCACCCAGATGACTTATGGGAAGTATTGTTTGGTCTGATTAAAGGCATGATTGATGATTTATGTTGTGAGAGAAACGCTACATTTTTGATTCATTTGGGTACTGGATTAATGGTTGTCGATGTGGAATCTTTAAATCACCCAGACAAAACATATTGTACAGTATAATTAAACCCATTATTCTCTACATACAGTATAAACAGTTATTAAAATCTATAGTAAATCAGCATTAATGATCAGCTCCCCCATATTGGCCTTAAATATTATGCAATAGGGGGCTGACCATGGCCTAATATCCGCCTATTTGGGGCTCAGTACCATGCACACATTTGATACTCCTGCTAAAAGAGTCCATGTTTGTGAATACTGTCTCTGACTTCTGTCAAAAGAAATATTGGTTCCCTTAGTTTGGAACTTCTCCCCATTTACAGCTTCATAGGGAATGTATTTGACTAGATTTAAACATTTATGAGGACATGGTTTTATATATATTTTTAACTATAATTGATTAAACATTAAACACTAATGCTTTCCAGCTGAGGAAGCTCAGATAAAGGTTGTGTGAGATTGGTATGATTTCAAGGATCACATTCTGTTCTTTTTTCGCACTTGAAACACTTGAAAGGAATGTTCAATGGTCATAACTACTCGCTGTCCAAGAAAGAAAGAAATACAGATGTGCATACTTGGGCTGAGGGGCATTCCCCTTTTAAAAAAAAAAAAAGCCTTATGTTTTACTGAAAATCCACCAACATTAATATATTCTAAATTAGTAGCAGACTATATGTTGACTTACCACTACAGTATAGCCACAATGCTGAATAACACATGACACACTTTGGAAGATCTGTAACTGTACTTCCTATTTACATCTCAGCCTCTATATTATTTCTGTTTTAGAATCAATACAGATAGAAACTTAAATAATTACTGTAGGTATTGTCTTCATAGCCCACTTTACATTCAGAGGAATCTCAGAACCCACAAGCTATTGGTCTGATGAAGATTTAGCCTCTGGGGCCAACAGCCAGTATTTTGGGGGTTCCCATGCAACCAGCAGATATCTAGATAACAGAGATCTAGGCAAGCACTTCCTCCGATACCAACATTTTGTCTTGTTGCCTCCAGATTTTTTATACATATACAGATATCTGTTTATTGAGATTACCTTCAGAGTCCCCTTTCATTAAGTATGTACATTTTTGGGACAAGTCAGTCTCAGGCAGAATTCTTTTAGGTGGGTCAGGTGTCACCACACAGAGAGACACCCTCTGTTTTCCATGAATTTTAAATGACATTATTTCGTCGAGGTTGCGATGTGTTCCCTGTTGAACTTTCTAATGGCACCGGAACTTCCTTGACTAAAAACGGGAAATAATTGTTGAGGTAAAGAGCTTTAAACTTGGTGCTGCAGAAGCAGTAGACCAGTGGATCCAGCAGACAGTCCATGTAGGAGAGGACCATGAGGCCGTCAAAGGCCACAGCAGCTTTATCCTCCATGGCCTCTGGCCACTCTTGGACCCGCGCTATCAGCAGAACCATCCTGGCTATGGTGCAAGGGAGGAAGCAGAGGGAAAAGACCACCATGACAGAGGTCACTAGAATGACAGCTCTCCTCAGCTTGGTCGTATCCCCGACTGTTTTTTTTCTGAGCCGGTTGACAATGTGCACTGTGCAGTAGACCAGGATGACGAAGGGGATGAGAATCTGGGTAAAGAAGACCACTTCTCGCAAACTGTCCACCACATCCTTAAATCAGAAAAAAGGATCAACATTATTTTTATATACATCACAGACAAATTCTTGTTCTTGATTGTTTAGCCATTATGTTCCTGCAATTTGTACATCAGGACAGGTAAGCTGTTAAACCAACATTCTAAATATACGTCTTTTTTATGTAAAATCTTAAAGGGACAGAGATGTTGGTCTTCTCACCAATGTAATGGAACTAGATGGCACTCGGCTTGTGGTGCTCAAAGCGCCAAAAGAATATATTTGAAAAACTAAACAGCAACGTCTTTTTCCAGAAATCATGACCCAGTAACCCAAGATAATCCACAGACCTTGTTGTAACTGGTTTCCTTTAGGAACTATTTCTTTCTACCAAACTACACCCACCAACTGTGCAGAAGGAAGAGTGCATCTACTTATGGATGAGTGACTTGTGCTCGTGACAGCACGAGGTGTAATGCTGTAATGTTAGCTAGCTCAGTGGTTCTAGGTGAGCTAGCAGTAGATGCAGGCTTCCTTCTGCGCAGTGATACAGTTGGCGGGTGTAGTGTGGTGGATAGAAAATAGTTCCTACATGAAACTGCTCACAACAAGGTCTGTTGACTGTCTTGAGCACCTAGGTCATGATTTCTGGAAAGAGACATTGCTTTTGAGTTCTTCCAATGTATTTTTTGGCACTTTGAGCTCCAGAAAACCAAGTGCCATCTCTTTCCATTACATTAGAGAGAAGGCAGTCATCTCTATAGCCGATATCTCCAACACTCAGCAACTCAGACCAAAACAATCTAGACGGATAAACAGCACCACAGGTAAGAGGAAAAATATGGATTTTTGATTTTGGGGTGAACTGTCCCTTTAATTTGTGAAGTAACTATTAATGATGTGGAGTAAAAAGTGAAACATTCCTCTCTTAAATATAAAGGAGTAGAAGTATTAAGTAAAATAAAATGCAAATTATTCTTCAAAATTGTACTTAAATACAGCACTAGTAAATCTACTTACTTTTCACCACGGGACAGGTGTTTGTAAAAGTAGCCAACAGTATTTATTCTTCTGTACTAGTTCACCAGAAAAACTTAAAGTGACTGCAAATAATGGATGAGGATATAAGCATTCTCGGAACCCATCGGCTGTATCGCCGCCTGACTTCCGGCATGGCGATGGCGATACAGCTTCTGGGGGCAGACCCCCGATTTTTGGGCATTCTGATTTGATTTCGGCAGATGAGGCGAATTTCCGTTTCCGACATCCGTTTATATCTAAGTAAATATGCTGAACCATTGCGATGGATTCAGAGTTTGCAGTGACGCCAATTATGTTCTGCCTCGTTAGTTCACCGCACTGACCGTTTAACCTGGCAACAACTGCAGCTGGCTCAAACGTGATTGGTCAATATCACGCGGTCTACAAACAGCCTAGCACCGGAAACCAGGGCTCTTCCGCTCTTCTTCTGGAGGCAAGATCTCCGGGGTTTGCCTACAGACTCTACATTCACTGAATGTAGAGTCTGTATATAGAGACTAGGATATAAGCAAGGGACTGTGGTATAAACACAGTCTCTACCGTACAAAGACAGTTGACTTTCTTTCATGTCATACACTATTTTCTTACACAGGGTACTTCGTCCTGCATTAAATCCTCTTTTTTTATGACAATATTATTGTTGTGGTTTCAACACGCACATATCTTTTCCAAACTACAGCCTTGTCATGTGTGGTGCAATTTGACACACTCCAGGTTTAACACGCCTCAACTAAAGCAATGCTGTGTCAGTGCAAAAATAGCTCTGGAAACAGGCTCTATCTGAGTGGCGCTTGTTGAATGAGATTACCTCTGGTATACTCTGTTCTCTCTGGGAGGATGCCATGGTCCCACATACTTCATTTCTGATTAGGCCTTTCATCAACTTAATTAAATATATTTTGTCATTTTCTTATTTTTAACATCATTAGCCTCTCGGTTACTTCAGGCTGAGTAACTGTTGGCATAAAATAGCAGTAGTGGAATGTAACTAAGTACTTTTACTCAAGTACTGTACTTAAGTAGAAACTTGAAGTACTTGTACTTTGCTTGAGTCTTTACTTTTCATGCCACATTATACATCTCAGAAGCAAATATTGTGCTGTTTACATTTTTTTTAAGTTACTAGTTACTTGTCAAATTAAGATTTTTGCATACAGCTGCAATGATTAGTCAATTGACAGAAAATTGATTGGCAGTTATTTTGATAATCGTACAAACGGTGTTTCCTGGGAAAACTTTATGTGGTTCAAGCTTCATGAATGTGAGGAATTGCTGCTTTTACTTTTAACTACTCAATTTATTTTTATTAATGTTAAACGTTGTACTGTTGGTTGGACAAAACACACATTGTGAAGGCGTCACTTTGGGCTCATGGCTCAACCGATTAATAGTGAAAATAATCAGTTTCGTCCATAATGAAAATAAACATGACTTAATGGATCAAAATAAGCTCTACTTAAACTAACTCCAACAGTAAAATCCCTGCTTTCATATTAATGCATGAGTTATAATATAATGATACATTATAGTACAGTCACAGGGGACATTATTCATAGTTTCCGGATTAAACTCACATCCTCTGACAAAAGTTTTCACCACACCCGCAAACGTAATAACAGCCCACAAACGTTATAAACCACAAATGTAATACAAATCTGCAGCTTTGAATGTAATAATCCCTCAAATGTAATAATTTTCCCACAAACGTAATAGCAGCTGCCTACTACAAACAGGAAATTATTACATATGTGGGAAGGTGAAAATCTAAACTGTAATAACTTCCCACAAATGTAAGATGAGACTGAATAATGATCTTTGTGGTTGTTGTTGTTTGTTTACTTATACACCTGCCAATAGTGATGCGTGTGTTGACAAGCAACCCGCAGGTCGGGTGGGGCGGGTCAGAAAGTGACAGAGCAGTGTTCTGAGTAAGTTAGAAATAACTTACAGAAACACACACACACACTGGTCATTCCTTGTCAGTTCACAGAATTACTCTGTGGCAGCAAATATGTTGTTTAATTGGATTTATTTTATTTTATTCTGCCTCTTGTTAATACGGATTTAATGGGAAATTTATTACATTTGCTGGATTATTACATTCAAAGCTGCAGATTTGTATTACGTTTGTGGTTTATTACATTTGAGGGCTGTTATTACGTTTGCGGGTGTAACACACATGACTTTTTTTTTTTTTTTTTTTTTTAAAGATATGTTTTTGGGCATTTTGCCTTTTAATGGATAGGACAGCGAAGTGTGAAAGGGGGAGAGAGAGAGAGAGAGAGAGGATGACATGCAGCAAAGGGCCACAGGTTGGACTCGAACCCGGGCCGCTGCAGCAACAGCCTTGTACATGGGGCGCCTGCTCCACTAATCCACCGACACCCCTCACCACATGACTTTTACTTGTAGCCGTATGTTTACGATGTTGTTTTAGTACTTTTCCTTAAGAATCTGGCTACTTCCTCTTTCACTGTAATGTTGTGTGAACTGTGTGTTGCATAAACGAGAATGACACAGCATTGGATGTGATGACATCGAAAACGTGCTCACTCAGCACTGTGTTGCCACATGGTCACAGCTCACAATTATTTAAGAGAGAACAACATGACATGAACATGCCCTTACAAAAAATTTTCCAGTAACTCAGATCGGTTCTGGATTAATCATTTTTTGCTCGTATGCTCATTTCTTGTCATTTCAGTCATCTTATGACATGCACTATAACAGAGTTTTGGGAACAATTCTGAGAACCTGTCAAACTTAGGGAGAGATGCACAGTGACAATTTACACAAATCACACATTCAGCATGGAAACATTACCTTAATCAAGGCATCCTCTTTTTTGTCACCTTCATTATGGCTGTGGCTGTTGCAGCAGTCGAAGTTCTTGAGCATGGTGGGGATAGTAAGAGGTAGGAGAAGCAGCCAGATGAGGATCGAGATGTGAGGAGATTTCTTCAGAGCTCGCAGGAGATTCTTTCGACCAGGGTGTACCACGTTAAAATATCGATCAATGGAAGTCACTGTCAGAAAGGCGATGCTAGCTCCTCGGTTTAAAAACAACATGAAGAGCATTGCTTTGCAAACGGTGTCATTGTCACTTCTCCTCTCCCCGTGGATATAGTTATTTGCCTTTATGGGCAAACAGAAGAGCAGGAGGATGTCAGCCAACACCAGATTGAAAAGGAAGATGTTGTTGCTGTTGGATTTCCAGAATTTCAGCTTGAATATGAAGAGGTGGATGACAGATGCATTCAGAGGCAAAGCCAGAATGAATATCACAATCATGACAGCTGCATAGAATTTATACAGTGCCCTGTTTGAGGCCTTGCAGTCCTCAATATGTTGGTAAGTTTGGTTTGTCATCGGAGCAGTCAAATACTCTAGCTGAGACATGAGTAAATATTAATTACAAGCTCAACACAAAGAGCAAAGTTATCTTCTCTAAACTAACAAGGCAATCACTTCACACGTGGAGTCTCACCCAACAATCACAAGGAAAGAAACCTGCCAAACAAGTTTCTTCAGCGTCTTCAGTCGTATTCCTCCTTCAGGTTTTAAATTCTCTCAGTCCTTGTGTGTGTGTTCCTGGTCTCCAAAGTCATTCAGGTTTGAGTGTCCTGTTTTTGTGAGAGTCAGTATCAGGTCTGGAAGTGATTCTGCTCAGTGTGCAGAGCAAATGGGTGACGCCTTCTTTGAGTTTGACTTGCAGTTCAGCCCTGTGCTTGTAGCTCCGCCTTTTATAGCCCGGGGAGGTGACTCACCCTGCTGCTTTTCCACTGTGGGACCAGTGGCACTGACAAGGGCCAAGACCAAGCTGTAGCATTTAAAATACAAATAACCCAAGCTCTATTTCTTAACAGGAAAGTAAGACTCTTAACTAAGGTTAAACTTCAAACACAGAGGTGGAGATATTTCTTTAAGTGATGCAATTCGATTAAAGACTTGCATGCCGTGTTGAGCCTTGACAAGCCCTCTGTGTGAACCAAGTCAGAACAGTCACATACTGATAGCTCAAGCTGATATGACGTTTGACAGACAGCCAGTCATATGAGGAAAAAAAACATTATGGAAACTTTTCTCGCAAAGCATACTGCTATTTCCTGGCACAAACTGTGAGAATTAACCATTTTGCTACTCTGAGGGCTTCAGTAAATCCCAGAAGCTACTGTGTGACTTACAGTTTCTCATGAATGGCAGCTTTGGAGTGTCTCAGCTCTTTGCTCTCTGGCTCAGTGTCACCGTTTTAAACTGTACATCTCCTCCACACATGCTAAAAATGTAAAGGGATATTCAGAGCGATATTCTCCTCAGAGTACGCAGATGTGGATCCCTGGGAGTTGATGATAGATTTACATGAATGCATGAGGAGATTGACATAGTGCTGCTGTCAGTGGTTTCTACTATGTAAGGAAAAGTAAATGAGTTTGCATGGAATGTTGCGTCCTAAGGGAGGAGGATTTCTTTCAGGGAGGGGGAAAAGGGGTTAGCCTTAGGCCTCACACTCCGCTGTGCATGCCTTGAACTTTGCATGCTTCAAACTCCTTCTCCACTTCAGCTACAAGTCCAGACAAGCTCATAAGTTTGAGACACGTTTTAGAAATGTGGCGAGGACATTACCTTTTTTCAGATCAGGTTCATGATTTACTGTAAAGGCCACCTTTACACACGATTAGGTCTGAGAAATGTTAACCTAATTAGCACAGTTATAGTGCCTGAATTATAAATCTACATGTCTATTTTGTTTGTTGTCCGAGTCATAGAATAGTTTTACTGCTTTATTGCTGGGTAAGATATCTGAATTTGTTTGCTTTGATCTAGTTAGACCTACACTGAGTGATCCTTGATTTAATCTATCTTGTCTCAGACTTGGCCTTGTCAGATGAGTATCTTTTCTGTGCTGCTCTTTTTTTTTAACTGATCCTTGACCTCCCATTCCTCTCCTGTGCTCCCTCCTCAGACAATGATTTAATTGTATGTTGGGTTACTCAGTCAACTATGCAGTGGATCAAGGTGTAATTAAAGCCCAGCAGTCTGGTCTGCTGCCCCTTGGTACTGCCCAATCATACTTAAGCTACCTGGAGGATTACTTTTATGACTAGAAAGGGCAATTTCATGTCATATTTTAACACTGTGCCTCATTTTCTTACAGTAACCTTTCCTACAATTGGAAGTATGGATATTTTCAATAATTTATACACCATTCAGCTAAGACATTAAAACCACCGGCTAGTCAAGTGAATAACATTGATCATTTCATTACAGTGCAATGTTCTGCTGGGAAACCTTTAGTCCCGGCATTCATGTGGATGCCACCTTACATGCTCCACCCACCCAAACACTGTTGCGGAACAAATTAACCCCCTCATGGCAATGGGACCCCCCGATAGCGGTGGCTCCCCCTGCAGGAAAATACACCATGCCACACTCAGGAATGGCCTGAAGAACTGAATTCAAGGCACCAACCTGGCCTCTGAATTCCCCAGATCCAGATCTGATCAAGTGTCTCTAGGATGTGCTTGTACCCCACCTCGTAACCCACAGGACCCAAATGATCTGCTGCCATCCGCCACAGGACAACCCCGGTGGTCTTGTGTCCATGTCCCACAACAGGTCACAATCTGATCCAAGTGGGCCCCACCGTGGATCGGGGGTACCTCTGGGTTTCAGCCACATCCCACGAATGCTTGTTTAGATGGGGAACTGGGGAATTCGGAGGCAAGGTTGGTGCCTTGAGCATTGTCCTTCAGACAGTGAAGGTTTCTGTTTATGTTGTTCTGCCCTCATTGTTTTGTGCTTCAGATTTTAATCGTCAAAGTTGGCCCATATCCAGTGAAATATCAGGATGATTACTTTTATGTTGCTGCATAAACTGGTGTCTACAGATGCCGTTCCAAAGTCTTCATCGTGTCAATGAAGCACACAGATGATTAAGGATTAAGAAATATTAAGAAGACAGATTATTTATTTTCTTAAAATTTGTCCAACAAGCTTTATTAAAATGTGACATTTTATCGTTTTCTTTAGTTATTAAAATGAACAGTGATTATTAACCTAAAGAAACGTGATCATGGCTTGTTTATTGTGAATGTTTAAATAGAGCAAGACTCCGAGAAGTGTAGCTTTGCAGCGTCAGAGGATAATCTGTCAAAATAACAATCAGATCACTATACTCAGTTTGTCAAGCCAACCTGTGACCCACTAACACTTACTGTAAAGTTGTACCTGCTGCTATAACTCACAGTGGTGCAGAATTTTTCTCACACTGTCATCCATACTATCTCACAGGAGGCTGAGATGTTTGGCACTCATCCAGTCACATACTTCTGATTTCCAGCTTGCACACAGCGAAGCTTTCCTTCACCTCCTATCCTGGAGATTCACTCCTTTCTCTGCCTTAAAATATTGTATCATAAAGAGAAGGTTCACCTCAAAATAAAAAAAAATAAAAATCTCTTATTTGCAGTAGATTTCTGGAAAGAGACATTGCTGTTGAGTTTTTCAAATGTATTTTTGGCACTTTGAACACCACAAGCCCAGTGCCATCTTATTCCATTATATCAGAGAGAAGGCAGACATCTCTACGGCCTATATCTCCAACACTCGGCAACTCACATCAAAACAATCTAGATTGATAAATAGCACTACAGGGAAGAGGAAAATGGCTATTTTTGATGTTGGGGTGAACTGTCCCTTTAAAGTTTGTCCTGCCTTCATGTCTACCATTCAGATATATTTAGATCCAAAGAAGAGACAGCACAGCAAAGGCACTCACCTACCACCACAGGGACTCACCAGACTGTGCACAGAGATGGATACCAGGACCCAGTCAGCCTCTCTGCTGACCCTGAAGACAGGTACTCAGACGGCTGGCCTACAACTCTGGAGGCTTTTCATTTGTTACTTGTAAACCTACTTGGACTGCACATACTATAAAGCAGAACATGTGTCCCACTTCTTTGTTATCTTAAAGGGGAACTATTATACCTTTCCATATTTTCTATCAGATATATCAGTGATTCCCAACCTGGGGGTCCTGACCCCCACAAAAATCCCCAAAGCTTCATAGAGGGTCGCGTGGGCATACTAGGTCTCCTCTTCTTCAATATTATTTGATTGTTTTCTTTTACTTATATTTCCAAGTATAATTTAGTTGTTCTTTTTTCTGGCACCAAGGCTGATCAGATCTGCTTTGAGGGAGGAAGAGACCTTCGGGGAACGTGTAGAGGAGCATCTGAAAGTGCATGAAATCTCTGAGCCAAAACAGCTGCAGGTAAATTACATAATAGTATAGTATATAGAGTACTGTACTGTGGCATAGTGTCTTGGCATATTAAACTTCACCTAGATGACCTTCAGCTACGTAACAAACAACAAAAACAAGAAGAAACATCAAATCACCAAACACAAAGAATGACAGGATATATACATATATTTGCATTGCTGTTCTTTTAATCTAAAAATATGGAATACAGTTTGTTTGGATAGCATTACATTAACATAAAAAGTCTTAACTAATATTTTGACATATTTAACAGCTCATATAAGGCCTACAGAACAGAGCTATGACCATGTAATAAGACAAAAAGGAAAAACATTTTTAGTCGAGTTGTAACGAACTGAAATCGTCGGTCATAGTTTTCTTTTATCGCGCCATCCTGTGTTGAGTCTACTATTGCCATTTTGATCACAAATCATATGAATTGGGGAGGAAGTGACAATCCATCGGAATCCAGCTTAACTTTTCACTGGCAAACTATTGCAAGCTGTACATAACCATTTTTACCCCTCCAATAAAATTTAAGGTAGCCCACATAGGGAAATGGCTAAAATGCGTTCTATCAAATGTCATGCACATCTCTCTGAGGATTTTTTTCTTCAATCTTTATTCTTTCAGAACCGCAGTGGGATGACGACAGAGAGACGTCGCTACATGCAGGAGGGTGAGGGCATTTCCAGGATGGTCAGAAATAATTTGAAGGTCACTGATCAGCAGGAGGTCCGGAGGAGGGCTTCCCTTAGCCTGCAGCAGCCCAGCAGGAAGTTAACCTCCGACATCCAGAGACGCTCCTCTGCCCCTTCTACGGTCTTTAAAGATGACAGAATGCAGCTTGAAACCTTCCAGTCTCTGAACTTTCAGCCTGAGCATAGCCTACAGTTTGGGACTTTACAAGACCTTAGTTCTGGTTCATGTAATTCTCAGACACCAGAGATCCAACCTCAGGCTGATGTCTTTTCTCTGGTCTGCGGCCAAGAGCAAACTTACGCCAACAATCCTTTCATGCCCCAACCTGAAACTCCACCTTTGGAAGGACAACAGATCACTGATACTCCTGCAGTAATTGACAGGGAAGAGGAACTTAGACAGCTGCATGAAGGAAAGTCAAGAGAAAAATTCCATTTGGAAGAAAAAGGAAACATTGATAACCCTCATTTAAGAAAGACAGAATGCAGAATTAATCCATCACTGTCTGAGCCGACACCCTCCGTTGGCAAGTCTTTCAGAGAAAAGAGGTTGAAGCACCAAGAAATGGAAAACATGGGTGAAACTGCAGAAAATATTGTTGAGGAAGAAGAGGTGAAAGGTCTGTTTGAATTCACAGCACCTCATAGACAAATGGCTGTGAGCTCATGTAGTGCCACCTCAGACTATCTATGGGAACAACCCTTGCAGCAGAACAACATACATTTCAACATTTCCCCCTGTTTTAGGGACAACAGAGTGTCCCCCCGGACCGGGAGAAATCAGGAAGTTATTGTTAGTTTTAAGACTGTGAGCGACCACATGGAGAGAGTCTCAAGCTTTAACATGGAAACTCTATCCACAGGCTGTGATGAAACAAAAACACATTTTCATCTCTGCCAGTGCAACAAGTCGAGACCAGGAAGCAGCGCAGGCTCAAACTTGGTCAAAGGTCAGAAACAAGTTAGGACAACAGCAGCATTTTGTCTTTGTGTGCCAAGCAACACAAGTCAAGTCCCGACACCTCTGGAGCTCAGTACATTTCCCATGCATTCCAATAAAAGAAGCACCACTGATAGTGGTAGTGGCAGTGAGGATGACAATAACACACCATCCCAGTGTCACCAGTTTCCCAAGCTCCCATCCCCTCCTCCCTGCCTCGGCCTCCAGGATTCACATTTAAACCTTTCAGAGGATGATTATGGCAGCAAGGCTGATGAGGAATGGATGTTCCCGGGGAGCCAAAAACAGGACCAGTGTCTTGGATCTGGATTAGGGCCCCATCAGCAGTCCTCTTCCTCCATCTCCAACAGAGATGGTAAAGCTCAGGGTGATTCTAATGGTAATTTTAACATAAATTTGACATTTTATTCAGGTCTGGTTTTCATATTTTTCACTGAATCTACATTTTAATTCTGTGTTTTAGTGCTTAGTGACGTGGTGATATAGTGACGTGAAAAATGTGAGATATTCATATATATATATGTAGCTAAACTCTGCTGGTTTTCTACCCGGAAGTATTTGTAAACAACAAGGTGATTCCCTCTGAAGGGACACTAACAACTCAAAGTACACGTCAAATAAAATTTCTCCAAACATGTTTCTTGTTATTTTAGGTAGTTATTATCATTCTAATGTTTGTTCAAGTGTTTATTTCCCCTGATAAGTTGGTTTTAATTCGTTATTTGATTCTATAAACACAGTCTGACCATCTCGAGCTTTTATTTTGGTACTTCGGTGACCAGCAGTGTAAATTTGCATATTAGCTAAATAGTTTCACCCAGAACATTTAGATTTAACAATTGACATTTAGATTTAGATTTAGCATTTAGATTTAACATTTAGATTTAGATTTAATATTTAGATTTATATTTAGCATTTAGATTTAACATTTAGATTTAGATTTAATATTTAGATTTAACATTTAACATTTAGGTGCCACATTTAATATTTTGATTTAACTATTTAATATATTTCTAAGTTAACAAATATTGCTGTAAATGTGGTAAAAGGTGACGTTAAAAAATTCACAACACTTTTTTAAACATTGTTTGAAGCTAAATGTGGCAAAATGTTGATGTTATTTTCAGCGTGAGACACTTTACAAACGGCACCCCATACATATGTTATACCGTGATCTTGTACTCAAGTACAAGTAGCAATACCACATTGTGAAAACCCTTGGTTAAAATTAGTAGCACACAAGTAGCACCATGAAAATATACTTTTAAGTACCAAAAGTAAAAGTACTCATTATGCAGAATGCAGAGGTGAGACCAAGTCGCTGTTTTGCAAGTCACCAGTAAGTCTCAAGTTCTTAACTTTGAGTTTTGAGTCCTAAACAAGTCATAGTTGTCCCTTCCCCAAATGTAATGCCATGTTAACAAAATAATAATCATTTATTCAATTTACCAAAGTCATAAATGCTTTTAAAAATTGTATTTTATTTGTAAAGATGAGTTCGTAAAAACAATTGTAACTGAAATTAATCTTTAAAAAGTAGTGCTGACATTTTACTTTCATAGCATTTAGCACTATTAAGCAGTAACCTGGAGGTCAGGATGTGATGAAGCCAACAGAATCGCTGGGCTCAGCCTTAGAGATAGGGTCAGGAGACATCCGGAGGGAGCTCGGAGTAGAGCCGCTGCTCCTTCACGTCAAAAGGGGTCAGTTGAGGTGGTTCGGGCAGCTGATCAGGATCCTTCTGGGCGCCTCCTGTTAGAGGTGTCTTGGGCACGTCCAACTGGTAGGAGTCCCCGGGGTAGAACACGCTGGAGGGATTATATATCTCATCTGTCCTGAGAACGCCTGGGGGTCCCCCAGGAGGAGCTGGAAAGCGTTGCTGGGGAGAGGGACATCTGGGGTGCTTTGCTTGGCCTGCTGCCCCTGCGACCCGGCTTCAGATAAGCTGATAAAAATGGATGGATGGAAGCAGTAGCCTACCACAACACAATGATTTTTTATGCTTCTGTCCTGTCTTGCCGTATTTAACTCATCTAACACTGGAAAAATATCTAAAACTCTAAGTCTCAAATTGGCTTGGGGGAGGTATCAAGTATTTTCAGGTCAAAAGTTTCAAGTCCAAGTGAAGTCACATATCATTGGTATTAAAGTCCAAGTCAAGTTTCAAATCTTTTTTTTTTTTTTTTTGATAGAGTCATCAAATGTGTGATTCGAGTCCACGTCATGTGACTCGAGCCCACACCCCTGGCAGAATGTAATCTCTACTTTATAAACTACTCTATATACTGCTGGGTAGTTTAATCTCTAATATGACATCATAATCCTTTGTTGATTATATCTTTAAATAATTTGGAAAGCAAAGTAACTGTAGCAGTGAGACAAATGTAGTGAAGTAAAAAATACAATTTTTACCTCTCGAACTTTTGAGGTACTTGAATTTTACTAAAGTAAAGAACAAGTACCTCAAAACTGTACTTACAGTACAGTACTTGAGGAAATGTACTTAGTCACTTTACACCACTGCAAAGCACATACAGGGCTCTATTTTTTAAGTGCACCATCCTCAGTGTTTTTGGTGCACTTTTGGTAATTTTGTGACCAGACCCAACACACCTGGGGTGCACTTACATAGAGGGTGGGACCAGAGAGAATACATCATCAGACATTACAGGTGGGGTTGTTAGAGGCTCTTTGTCCTCAGAGGAGACTAGTGGTCTGGTAAGTGTAGAGTTTTGAATATGAAAATATGAAACAAAATCCAGTCCTCATTATATGCAAAAAAATATGTTAAAAAGTTTTTCTGAACCTTAAAGTCACATGCGATATTGTGAACATATTCTTGAAGCCCAGTTTCACTCAATAATGTTTTGTTTGCTGCTACTTTCACTTGTTTGTTTTAAGGATAATTACCATAATTCTTCATCTTAAAAGTCTCTTCTGTGTAATTGTTTCATATTAGGAGGTCAGAAAAGGATGACTATACGGTCACTGAGACCAGAAAGAAAATCTGATGGTACAGATGTAACAAAAATGGCACAAACATCAAGAGGACTTCTAAGGTAAAAAACAGCTTCTGTTTTTTTCTTTTCTGTTTTTGTCACGTGTTGCTGTATCACCTCATCTCAATCTGCCACATCTAAGCGGCACTGCCTTGGCTCAGGAAGTAGGTTTCTGCCATTTTTTATCAGTAAAGCACGATGTCAGCTTAAACTTCCTTTCTGGCTTATCATCATATTTCTTTCTATAGAACGCACGCACACAAATCAATAAGATAACAAAATGCTAGTACTCTACATTTTGTCCTGTTTCAGCAGCAATAATGGAAGTTTTCTTGAGACTGCAGTGCTCGAAAGTCCCTGTTTAACTATTAGATGTATTGCCTTGACATTTGGTACAGACACTCATGTTGCCTGACTTGTAATAACTTTGTGATCCCACAACCTTTTATTGAGCACCATCATCAGGTCAAGTGTTTAATTTGTGTGACCGAAAATACCTGCAAACCTAACATTATTCCAATCAGCCTCAGCTGTACTTTGTGTTCAGTACAAATAAGCAAATGCTATCACACTAACATGCTAAACTAAGGTGATGAACTTGATAAACTGTAGACTCTTAGTCTTGTTTTATTGTTTCTAATGCTTTGTATAAATCCTAAATTGCTCTGTTTACATGCAGAGAAAAACTAGATCAGAGTGATGAACTGAAGAGGCCCTGCAGAGGCGATGACGTCCTCTTGGACACAGAAGCGAATCACCACATGAGAAATCAACACAGTCTGCACAAACTGGAAACCAGTGAAGTCCAGGTCAGTTTTTAGCGGGAGGAAATGTGACTTTATGTCAGACAATATGGGTTAGGAGTGTAGCGTGTCCAAATTGTCTTCTGTTGTTATCAAGGGGTGCAAACCTGCGCCCTTAATGCACCCCTTCCGAAAGTGCGCATCAGACCTCACTTTGCTGAAGGATTTTACCCAGAATCCTCCGTAGTGTCGTGACGCCGTAACACTGTACAGCTGGCCGGTACAACTCACCATCTTCAAACGGTAACTGACGTGTCCGCGAGCCGTTAACTCCGACTGACAACAACCGTTAGAGGAACATAACGTCTAACAACACGCTGTGTGGACTTAATAATACATGACAGGGCGTTAATAATGAAATAATATACAGTTTACAGTTGACTGGAGGTTTGTATGACAGTCCACATCACTTTACAGTTTTGATTGTGTCTTTAATTATTATTATTTTATTGCCGTATGTCTTTATAGTTTATTTTATATCACAATTTACCACAATTTATCCAAGCAAAAAACGTTTTAATAGTAATAACGGTAATCTAGGCATCGTTAATGGTAGAGTAAAAAAACATGTTACAGCTAATATACACATTATTAACAGGTAAATTCAAGAGTAAATTTACCTGTTACTTGGGTATCAGCATCAATATTTGGATCTGATGTAGATGCCGCCTTCTCCTGCGGCTCCTAATCCTCCTCATCATTCGCTGATTGTATCTATTTATCATTTGCAGCAGCAGTGCTGCGAACAACGTTATTTCCTCTAATGCCATGTTTCGTCTCCTAGGAGACGGACCAGCTGGTCCCAAACGGAAGTGACGTGTACGCAACTGTCCCAATTCTCCTTTTTAAACAACATCGATCCCTTGCGCACTTAAGCCCCTAACTGCACTTTTGGCAAGTGCACTTTAGGGAAGACCTCAGGGCGCAAGTGCGGGTATTTGGACAGGGCCTTAGTGTGACACAAGTAAGATATAAGTGCTAACAAACAGTATATTTCTACAGCTGTCACAACTGTTGATGTGCGGAGCAGCCATATTGGATTTTAAGGTCGGGGTTGGATGGAACTTTTCAAGATGAAAAAATCCAACTTCAGGGGACGTTTGAGTTGAAATTTCTGACTGGGAACTTGAAAATTCTGACTTCCCATGGAACACATCAAGAGTCCGCACTGTAAAGATCTTAACGGCATTGAGTTCCTGCCCATACACTCGTCCAACCAATCACTAACACCGCCATTGATTGCAAGCAAATTGATTGCCAGCTGTCAATCATGATATCAGACACCCAAACAACCAACACTTTTTGTAACATCAAATAACTAATTCAAAGAGAACTTGAAAAAACAGTCCTTGACGCCAGGTATCAGCACGCCTGAGGCACCGCCCATTCCTGCTGCCCGGCACACAATGCACCAGACCTTGATTTCTGTCCCTGCGCATAGTGGGCCCATGGGGTGTTGGCTCCATGTTATTTTTTTGGGCTGAGCCCAACCAGGCCCCATAGCCCATGGCCCGGCCATGATCTGGCTCAAGGGGAGGGCCCCGGTCTTCATGATCTTCTTGGTAGGAGGCCCCGGGCAGACCCAGAACACGCTGGGGGGTTACATATATTATCTGGCCTGGGAACGCCTTGGGGTCCCCCAGGAGGAGCTGGAAAGCGTTGCTGGGGAGAGGGACATCTGGGGTGCTTTGCTTGGCTTGCTGCTCCGGTGACACGGCCCCGGATAAGCAGATGAAAATGGATGGATGGAATGGACTTTAAAAAACTGTTTAAAATATATCAGAATGAGAGGGACCTACCTGAAATGACAACAAACTGTCTTTGGGAGAGTTTAAAGTTCGTGTAAAGCAGCAAAAAATGTCTGTTATAAGTTTGTCACATCACAGAAATATGTGTCATTAATCAATGAGCCAAATTTGAAAGATTAAAAAAATTGCTAAGTATATAAAATTAGCTCTCAAAATAATGGAATAACAAGCACTTCTCTCTGCTGTGAAACGCTGGGGCCGTGCCTGGAGGGCTATGTCTGCAGCCTCTTGTGTCTCATGACTCCAGGCTGCAGCCATTCAGTCCACGCCAACTCGCAAGAGGGAAGCACCCTCCGTGTACTGTACATGAACGTAACCCTGCACCAGCGGGCGGAACAGGAGGATGTAGTCAGGGAGGGAGAGTGTCGGTTCGGCTCCACTGACTGAAAATATTTTTTCCAGCGGATGTCTTAGTTACAACATGATTGAGCTAACTGGAGTAGTTTCATGTCGTATCCGACAACGAGAGGCTTTTAACAGATGACGTCCTGATGTTGGCTTTGCTGCTGCTGTTAGCTGTCCCTGTCAGCTGCAGCCACTGATGCTCTCTAGACATCGTGATTTCCCAAAACTGAATGAATACCACACATAGCAACACAAAACTGCTTTGCTAGCTCAATCATGTTGTAACTAAGACATCCACTGGAAAAA